TAACGAGGACTGGGCTGGAGCTGGGTTCAGTGAACCATCCAGGCTGCAAGCCCTGGGCTGCCAGAAGAATGGGAGTGCACACGGATGCTCTGACCAGGAGCTGTTTTTGGAATAAAAATTAGGGGTTCAAAAGTTTCCCCTCATGCCTAGGTTTCCTCCACCTACCACATCCTTCCGAAGGCTGCTCAGCCCCAACTCCTCTGCTATGAAAAACACAATCACCGCAAAGCAAATTCATTCTACATCCACCACCTCCATCAGAACCTGTAACAGTTTCCAACACCTTGCTAACTCTCTCAGGCCAGGAGCTAATGCTTTCCTCCAAGTGCAGATGTACACAGTGAAAGACAATGGCTGCCGTGTGGATCAGTCCGCAGCAGCAAAAACACATCTAGGCCCTGGCTGGTTTGGCTCAATGGATGGAGCGCTGGCCTGCGGACTGAGGGGTCCCGGTTTGATTCCAGCCAAGGGCACATGCCTGGGTTGCTGGCTCGATCCCCAGTGGGGGGCGTGAGGGAGGCGGCCGATCAATGATTCTCTCTCATCATTGATGCTTCTCTCTCCCCCTCTCCTTTCCTCTCTAAAATCAATAAAATATATTTTTTAAAAAAACACATCTAGGAAGTAAACTTTGCAACTACCACATGCTGTCTCTAAGGATATCTTTATCCATTTGTCCTCGTGTATCCATTTGTATCCTTGGCAACCAAAATGTTTACAAATTAGTACAATGAATGTTGAACAGATTATTGTTTGGAAGCCAGTTCCAGGTAAGGAAACGCCATAGAGGTGTTTATTCTGAATCAGGGTGCTTTTCCCCAGAGAGCAGCGTCTTGTCAAAACCCAAAACTGATCTGAGGACCTGCGGGGGCTGTGAAAATAGGATCCTGATTGTCTCGGGGTTGACAACCTACTTGGAGACAAAACAACACTGCTTTCTTTGGCTCCAGCAACAAGGATAAATTAAAGCTGTCCAAGGACCACACTGCTCAGTCAGCTCTCTCACAGACTTGTGCAAAGGACCGTTCTGACTGAACAAACACTGCCTGACTCGGCTTTTCTAGAAAGGGAATATGTGTGACCCCAGGAGGGTATCCTTCGCACACAGCCAATATATTTGGCAAATCTTTTAGGAATAGAAACCTTGCTCATTATAGTGAAGCCAGATAAACATGTAAGAAGTAATTTTTCTGAATGCAATTTTAATGACATTGTTTTTGTTACATCTAAAATTATACAATACATTGTTTTTTACCTTATGGAATGTGAATTTGCACTAGAATGGTACGTGAATAAATAATTCCAAAATTTTCTACAGATGGGGCAAATGGGTCCAGGAAATGGAACCAAAGGTATGATTTGTGTCCTTGTTTGTCATTTCCCCTACTTGAAAATTTCAGAGGCTCTCCCCAGTTACAGAGCAAAGTCCTTGCTTCTTAGTGAATATGGCCCACAGGACGCCTCCTGTCCACCTTGCCCCTTTATCCCTCACAACCACCCCTCTGTTATAGGTCAGAAACATCCTGCTTGTGTGGTGAACGTCTATTCATCCTCAACAACCCAGCTGAGGTCTCACCTCATTAAAGGATGCACCCACTTTGGGGCTGTCTCTGTGACTTTTGCATATACTTCCATTGGTGGGCATGTCCCACTGGAAGAGTGTGGCTGCATGTCTGGGATCCCAGCTTGATCTCTTTGAGAGAAGGGCTTCTGTCTGAATCCCCAGGGCTCTGCTGTGCCCTCCACCCTTTGAATTGAGTATCTTTGCAATCCTCTGGGGTGTTATGTAGAACTCAGGTGGCTTTGGCTAGATTCTCAGCATGGTTATTTTAAGAATTAAGGTTTTAACGTAAGTGCTCCCTCCATAGACAATATTATTTTTCAATGTGTGCTTAGTTTTTATAATCATTTGTCTTTCTTAATCTGCTTGTGATTTTAAAAATAAGAATTGTGTTTTTCCTTCTCTATGAAAATGATGGAATTTTGAATGTACTCCCACGTAAGTAAACAAATCCTCTCTCGTAATTTTTCCTGATTAAAGGAGAGGCAAGCAATCGTCCAGATTTGCATTTGTTTATAGAAAAGCCTAAGGGTCAGTGTGGCCTATAGTCTGGGCAGGGGGCGAAGGGAAAGAACCCGGATTACCTGCTGGGCTGGTTGATTACTTTGCCTTGGGTTCTCCAAGGGCATCAGTCTCGGGGAGATGAAGAGACCAGGCCAGAGACAAGCTAAGATATGCACTGGATTGCTGACCACCCCTTTCGTTATTTTGTGTCCAAGGCCATTATCTGAGTCATCCAATGGCAGTTACATTTGTAAACTTCCTCGGCTGGATAAAATGCCACTTATCTTTGTAGTTTATATACCTCCATCTTTATATTTATAATATTTATAATATAATAATATAACATGTTATATTATATTATAAATTATCCATCTATTAAAAAACCAGAGGAGGAGTCAAGGGGGACTCCAAGGTATATAGTTTGAGTGACCAGGTGGGCAGTGGAAGCATCTGCTGGAGGTTTGGAGGAAGAACCACAATCATGAGTTCAGTTTTGGATGCAATGGAGTTGAGGCGTTAGAGGGGCATCTAGATGGAGATGCCAAATGGAAAGTGCAGAGGAGACGTCCGGGCGGGAGATAGAATCTGAGAGTTGTTAGAGTGTAGGTGGCAATGAAGCCTTGATGGATGGAATTGCCTTGGTGGCAGAATGTTGGGTGAGAAGAGGGTATAACTGTGCCGTAGGACACCCCCACATTTACAGGCTAGGTGGATGAGGAGTGATTGGCAAGGAATAAAGAGAAAAGTCAGAGAGGAAGGAGGGACACTGGGACATATGAGCACGGGAGCCAAAGGGAAGGAGTGTTTCAAAAGAGGAAGTAGTCAACTTCGTAGAAAGATTCTGAGACACTGGTGGCGTGATATGAGGATATAAAGAGTACATTAGCCTAACCGGTTTGGCTCAGTGGATAGAGCATTGGCCTGTGGACTCAAAGGTCCCAGGTTCGATTCTGGTCAAGGGCATGTACCTTGGTTGCGGGCACATCCCCAGTAGGGAGTGTGCAGGAAGCAGCTGATCGATGTTTCTCTCTCATCAATGTTTCTAACTCTCTATCCCTCTTCCTTTCTCCCTGTAAAAAATCAATAAAATATATATATTTTTTAAAAAGAGTACATTAGATTAAGAGACATGAAAGTAATTGGTGACTTTAGCAAGAATTGTTGCCATGGAATGTTTAAAACAGAAATTGGGTTAGGGGGTTTGTGGAGGGCCAGAGTTTGAGAATGAAGGGGAAGAGAGTCGTGGAAGCTAGGAAGTGAGTGGTTTCCCAGTTTAGTAGTGTGCCTAACACAGTAAGTTGAAAGAAAGGAAGGTCATGAATAAGACCCTAGATCAGCGGTGGGCAAACTACAGCCCGCGGGCCGGATTCGGCCCGTTTGAAATGAATACAACTAAAAAAAAAAAAAGACCGTGCCCTTTTATGTAATGATGTTTACTTTGAATTTGTATTAGTTCATACAAACACTCCATCCATGCTTTTGTTCCAGCCCTCCGGTCCAGTTTAAGAACCCACTGTGGCCCTCAAGTCAAAAAATTTGCCCACCCCTGCCCTAGATGTTTGCACTACTGGAATTACAGAGGAGGTAGTTTCAAGTATTGGCAAGGTCCACAGTGTGCCAATGAATGGATGAGGCAGAGTGTACAGTACATGAGTTTGACAAAGGTAGACAAATGGTGGCTTAGGTCATAGTGTCTTGATGAAAAGACATAGGGTTTTCCCCCCAAAATTTCTACTCCCCAAACCTAGAATACTATGAAACACCTGGAATAGTTTTTAAAAGTGTTTAACTCTTATTAAAAATTGGACCGCTCAGTATTTTGCTGAGCACTCTACTTGAACTTTCTGAACTAGTGATCACTATTAGCAATCTAGATCAGGTCCAAAAGAGTGTTAAGAGATTCACTAGTACCTGTATTTTCATCCGTACACATCTGGTGGGTAGGTCTCTGTTATGAGTTTGTCTTGGTATCATTTGCTTCTTCTTTTTTTTTTCTTTTCCTAAAAGTGAAGCAGCACAATGTGTTCTGGTTACTTAGGTTGTAGTCAATTCGAGTGCATTATGCACAGAGCTTCACTCTCACATTCTGCATCCGATTCCTGACTTTTAATGCTGTTGCTCCAGAGTCTAACGCTGCTCTTTCCCCTCTGCCCATTCATGCCACACATGGACTCTAACTAGGGATGAACTATATTCTTCTATTTCCTGTATCTTGATGCTCTGGCATCTGGGGCCTTGCTGTTCCTGGAGAGACTGCCCCTCTCAAGGCTAATTAATTCTAAGACACAGCAAAGGACTCCCCTGTTCAGAGTGCCTTTTATATGCAAACCAACCATTCCAGAGCCTAAGCACACCAACTACCGTTTGTTGTTTTTTAGCAAACTGTCACAGATTGAGCCAAAATTCCTCTATCCTAATCATCCCAGGGCCAAGTACCAGATGACTCAGGTCAACTCTACACTCCAGAGTCCCCCGCTGAACTTATTTAAACTTGCCCATCCTAAACATGCTTACCCTGCCTGGCTCATTCATACCTGTACAAAGGTACAATAAAGTCTCTTGCTCATGCCTTCCTAGCCCCTTCAGGCTCCTGGCGGACTCTGGTGCTTCCCCATCTAGCCCTCCATGGTCTGGCATGCCCTCTCCTCTTGGGAACTGTGAGTAACAAACTATCTTTTCATTTAAAAAGAAATTTTTTTGAGAGAGAGAGTTTAGAGAAACATCAGTATGAGAGTGAAACATCTATTGGCTGCCTCCTGCACACTCCCTACCAGGGATCAAGTGCACAACCTGGGCCCTGACCTGGAACCAAACCATAGAACCAGCAACCTTTCGGTGCACCGGAGCCACACCAGCCAGGGTCACAAACTATCTTTTCAATGGCAGTCATCTGATTTGCTGGCCTTACCAAACCTAAACAAAAACAAAATCCCAGGTACATTTTAAAATATACTGGTCCCTTGACCACAGCTAACACCAGGTTTTACCTAATGCATTGTAACAGAAGCACCAGAATCCAGAAGGCCTTCACAGCCACGCAGGACGTCACTCCTGGAGTCCATGCGATGGTACCTAATCCTCAGGTTGGCAGTCTGCAGACTGTGGAAAGCACCTCAACTCCCAGCACAAGACTCTCCTGGCCTTGAAGCCTTCCATGTCCTGACCCCAATTTTTTTGACTAAGTGTGAGGAGGCCCTTATTTTTCACCCCAGGATGGCTCACCACAGGAACACATAATCCTTCAAGTAGAAAACACTTTCTCCAACTCCAGGATGACTTTTACAGCTCAGATAAGGCAATTATAACAGCTAATGCTACATTTTCTCAAAAGCTGGGTTCCTCAACATTAAATAGCACCATGTGCAGAATCCCAAAGTTCTAACCTAATTTCATATTTAGAAAAAAAATATTTACCTACCTAATCCAGGGAATAGTCCTGTGAAAGCCATAATACATTCACTTAACTACAGAGATCATATAACAAATTAATCAACGCCCCCTCAGTCAGATTTATGATAACATCAGAGTTTTTTTTGGGGGGGGGGTGCTTTATATGTGTGTATCTAAAGAATCTATTTTAAGAATAATAAAACTGCCAGCCACCTCCAAACAGCTTTCCCACTTACGAGCAAACAAATGAAAGTTCCGTTTACCAGACACCCTGTCAACGTGAAGGCAGCCAGCGAGCCTGGAGCGGCTCGTCAGGACAGCTCTTATCGAACTGTATCTGTTTTCAGCAGATGGTTTTGCTTAGAAAGAAATGATCACATTTATGACACTCATACTCACAGAGTAGCAGACATGAATCCAACACACACAAAGAATCTAGATTAAATACCTCACCATACACCTATCAAGTTTATGTACACATCACTGTAATTACTGTTTGTAAGTAAGGGACAGCACTTACACACTTTGGTGAATATTGGGAATTATCAGAAAAAAAGCCCTGGATTTTTAATTTTTTTCATTTTCTTGTAATTTTAGGTACTCATTTAAAATCCTACTAACCACTAGATAAACAACACCTTAAAAATTTGTACAATCGGATTTAAGTGTGAATTTGGATATGCATGATCTATAATGCAACCATAGTCCTTCCAAACTTCATAACCTGGACCTAATCATGAGAAAACATCAGACCAAACCCCAAGTGAGGGACATTTAACAAAATAACTCCTTACCCTGGCCAGTGTAGAGCACTGGCCTTTGCACCCCAGGGGTCCACCTGAGGGTCCGGGTTTGATTCCTGGTCAAAGGAAGGTACCTACGTGGGTTGCAAATTTGACCCCAGCCCTGGTAGTCAGGGTACGTGTGGGAAACAACCAGTCAATGTGTCTCTCTCATATCAATGTCTTTCTCTCTCTTAACCTCCCTTCCACTCTCTCTAAAATCCTCAGGCGAGGATTATCAAAATGATAATAATAATAATAATAATGATAACAACTCCTCAAATAATAACTAGTCGAGGCAGGAAAGAGAACGACTGTCTTGGGTACTGTTCCAAAGTAATGGAGACGAAAGGACATGGCCACTACAGGGGATGCATGATCCTGGACTGATTTCTGGGATAACTGGTGAAATCTAGTTGTCTGCAGAGTAGATAATAGTATTTTCTCCATGTTAATTTTTTTATTTTGATCACATCTGTCATTTAATTTCAAATGGCTCAGAAAAAAATAATATGTATATGTGTATACAGAGAAAGGAAGGATAATAAAGCAAATGTAGTAACCTGTCAGCATTTGAGTAATCTGAATTTTTGCACTGCTGGTGATTTTTCTGTAAACATGAAGTAATTTTTGTAATCCACTCACCAAGGCATTCTCCTGCTCTTCGGAATAAACATAAAATAGCATAGCTGCACATCTGACAATAGCCTGTTTTCTGCCTCCCCGATTTATTCATGTAGCATTAAAAATTGTTTTCCCCATGTTCTTCCTAGAATTTTAGCCAAGTTCATAACTTTATTTCCCTGACACATAATCTTTTCTTTCCTTTTTCTATAATCACAAAACTGAAAAAAAAAGAAGAGAGAAACCTCTCTGTGATTCCTGAAATTCTGTTCAAGACAAAGCACGATGTCTTTCCATTTAAGTTTTCTAGGGAACAACGTTCTTCCAAGATTGGGGCTTTGCTGTCCATCCCCTTCCCACCCACCCCCCCACCCCGATTCACCCCCCCACATACACACACATAAACCCGGCTGTATGAAGGAAAGCGTTGATCCTAGATAAGGAAAACTCATTTCAAATCATGATAAGTCATAAAAGGAGAGAAAAAGAAGCAGCCAATAGTGCTGTTGGTCTAGCTCCAGGAACAGGGGGCTTTAGACCGGAATGAGTTAGGGTCCAGAGCCCTTCCCCAGGCTCAGACAATTTCCAGGCATTTGCCAGAACATTCCAGGAGGGCCCTCTGCCCACATCAGAATAGCCTTGGTGTCCTCTGTGCTTGCGTTCTCCCTCCTTTATGCCCTCCCACTCCTGGCAGCTATTCCAGGTTTCCCCAGGGACACAGTGAAACGGCCCATACACAAATGCGCACTTGCCACTGGAGACCAAGTACAACATGAAGATGAAAACCAACGGAATCCCCTTACCTTCAAGTAGCAGTTGTGTGAAACAGGTTCCTCGTCTGTACCAGGCGCCTGAGAGGATGAGGCTGCTCAATGCATGCGGAATATATAGGGAGGGATTATATATCCGGGTTTTTCATTACACAAGGTGTTTTTGATGGGTTCTCAGCCAAGATTCACTTAAAAACAAAAGCTACACAAAGACTACAAAAAGGCCCACAAAGTTTCAACAAAAGGCTAAAGACAGAGCAAACAAAAGCCAAAGAAAGTTTAAACAAAGAGTGAAACAAAGACAACACAAAGGCCAAACAAAGACAAAACAAAGGGCAAAAGAAAATCTAAACAAAAGCTAAGTTACAACCACATTACACACAAACACACACATACACACAGTCACAAACCATATCTACACATCAGCCCCACACTCTCCTATCCCAGTCTCCCACCTCTCACATCCCACGTAACACCCCATTCCAACGCCCTCACCAAGGCTCTCTCCATACTCACTTCCCCAAATCAAACCACACACCAACTCACTCCACCAAACCACACATGCTTCTGCCAACGTGGCACCACCACAGCAATCATCCCAGCTCCCACCGCGCTACACCTCACCCACATGCCACACGCCAAACCCACAAGCGACGAACAGAGTTGGAATCACACTGACAAATCCCTACCTTTGGAATCTCTTTCCACACTCTACTCAGAGTAAACACGCACCCTCCCTAACACTCCCTACATACACAAACATGCATATATACACACATCCAAGACTAGCATCCATACATGCATGCCCTCACACAATTTAGCAAGAGTACCTCAATGTAGTTACTACTGAGGTTAGATCTGGATTATTCTATAACAATTACCATTTACGTTCAAATTTATAAAAACTTTTTAAAAAATCTATAATAGATGATATCTGTAAATTAAGAATCTCATTTAATTAACAGAACACTTCAGTCTTGGACATGGCATTTTCTTATCATTTTCCTGGAGTTTGGGGTTATGCCATTGAATCCTGTAACTGTGCCTCAGTTAAATGTCATGGATCCACTCTACCTGGTTTGGCTCAATGGATAGACCATCAACCTGGGGACTGAAGAGTTCCAGGTTCAATTCCCATCAGGGCACATGCCTGGGTTGCAGGCTGGAGCACTAGTAGGGGCATGCAGGAGGCAGCTGATCCATGATTCTCATCATTGATGTTTAATCTCTCTCCCCTTCTCCTTTCTTCTCTGAAATAAAAATAAATAAATGTCATGAATCCTACAACCAATGCTTTTGCTAAATTTCATTCTATGTGGAGAACTACATACTAATGATTTGAAAGATGAAAGGATATTTCTGAAACTAATCCAACCAACAGTAGCTTTGCCTCTTGAATTCCCACAACTCCTTGCATGAGAGTGAGATTTACATGTCAACACTGTCATAAAGTTTCTTTCCAGGCTCTTGTCACAGTAATGCGAAAAGGGGACCTTGAGGAGGCGATCCAACAAGACTGAAAACATACCATGTAAATCTCATTGCACACTAACTTCATGGCTACTTAAACATTCTTGATCTGTGTAATGAGGTGCATACGTCTGCTGGTTGGTTCACTCCTGCTGAGGCCAGCACTTTGCCTGTTCTGCATGGATCTGCGTGAGGGTTCGGGAGCAGAACAAGGTGGCTCAGAGCACGGGCTCTGGAGGCCTCAGGGATAGTCATTAAGCCGGTTAGGATGTCACACTGGTTGGAACTGTGCCTGGCACATAGTGCTACATCAATGTTAGCTATTGTGGTCTGGCCCTAAAGAAGCTTACGAAACAGTTGTAAGAACACATTTCCTACTTAGAAACTGGAGATGTTGTCTAAATAGGTTTTTTTTTTTTTTGCACTTCATTTTATTTTTCAGGCTTTTCTTTTGCATTTTATTTTATAATTGAATTTATTAGGGTGACACTAATAAAACTACGTAGGTTTCAGGTGTACAATTCCATAATACAACATCTATATATTGTACTGTGTGTTCACCAACCCAAGTAAAATCCCCTTCCATCACCATTTATCCCCTCTGTACCCTCTTCTCCTCCCCCACCCCCTTTCTCTCTGGTGAATTCAGGTTATTTTAAAAGTGCAAGATAGAGTGGGTAGATTGTAGAGATAGCCTCTTCCCTAAAGGACTCCTCTGCTTCTCAAACCTTTCCAACAAAGGCCCTTACTGGCAAATTTTGTGAAGTCCTGTCTTTGATCTTCTACTCCATGATATATGGAGTGATGCACAATTTATGCAACCAAAGTATGGAGTTCCCACAGAACACTTGTTATGCCGACTCTCTTTACTCCTATTTAAATTTTGGTATTTGCCCTTCATGCGGTGGTGTTCTCAGTCCCAGAAAGACAGTGTAGGAGCCACACCTGAGTCAGAGGCACTTCTTTGAATGGCAGCTTTGTGATCCACAGAGGGCACCACCTCCTAGAACTTCAAGTGGATTTGTGGCCAAAATTAAATGACTTGCTAACGTTACAGATAATTTCTCCAGGGAAACTTTGGCTGCCACTGACAATCCCCCCATGTTATGGGCTGAATTATGTCCTCTCCAAATTCACAGGCTGCAGACCTAACTCCCAGACCTTACTTAGAAATGGGTCTTTTCAAAGGTAATCAAATGAAAATGAGGTTGTTAGGGTGGGTCACAGATGTCCTATAAAAAAAAAGACATTGGCCCTAGCCAGTTTGGATCAGTGGGTAGAGCATCGGCCTGCGGACTGAAGGGGCCCAGGTTCGATTCTAGCCAAGGGCACATGCCTGGGTTTCGGGCTTGATCCCCAGTAGCAGGTGTGCAGAAGGCAGCCAATCAGTGATTCTCTCTCATCATTGATGTTTCTATCTTTCTCCCTCTCCCTTCCTCTGTGAAATCAATAAAATATATATATATTTTTTAAAAAGAAGACATTGGACACAGAGACACTCATGGAGTGGAGTCAATGTGAAGACACATGGAGACAATGGTCATTTACAAGCCAACGAGAGTCATCTGGGACGTACCTTCTCTCCAGCCCTCCAGAGGAACCAACCTGCTGACATCTTCTGCTTGGACTTCCAGCCTGGAGAACTGCTGTTTAAGCCACTCAGTGATACTAGGTGGTATTATGTAATGGCAGCCCTAGCAAACGAATACATCAGTTACTGTAACTACTTTTTTAATTCATTTTGATGAGTATTTATCAAAATAATATTTGCACAAAGTTATAATGCATTAAAAGGCTTATAAGGAGAAACAATAGTCCCTTTTGCACTTCATCCCACTCCATAATCCCACTCACCAAAGGCAACACGTTCAACAAATTTTAGCCATTTTTCTCTATTCATTTCCATACTGTTAAAAATCCATACAGCTACATATATGCTTACTTACTATAGACTACTGGCTCCCAATTGAGGGTTTAATTTCCTTACACTCTCCTTCTTTCTCTCCCTCTCCCCTTACCAACTGAATGTAGTTATACCTGTCAGTATTTATATTATTATCAATAAGTATCTTTTCTACACAACTTTGTAATCAATTATGATGACTTCATTTCTTTGTACAAATTTGTTTTTCCTGGAGTTAATAATTGTCCTATTTTGCTTTCATTTATTTTAATTTGCTTAGCGTTTTCTCACTTTTTTTTAAATATTCCAACAGACCTGTCAAATAACTATCAATTTTTCAAATATTCCAATCTATCAAATAACTGTTTACTTCTACTGCCTTCATAATCTGTTCTCTGGCTCGACTTTTGGACTGGTTGCTCTCAAAGTCTGGTGCAGGACTGAAACTTCCCTGAACTTTTTTGCCGTAAGGATCACCTATGTCGTGGATCCCATGTCATTCTCATTTTTTGTTTGCTCCCTCATTTTCTGAAGTACACTCTCTAGTGCCATCATTGGAAAGAGCACGTGTTAAGGGAATTTTGTTTTAATTCTTGCATACCTGAAAGCTGCTTTATTCTACCTTCACATTTGATTGCCTTGTTGGGTATAGAATTCCAGATTGAAAATTATTCTCCCTCAAAATTGTGGATGCATCATCTCTCCATATTTTTGGAAGAAACAGTATGTGTTGTTCACCTGCCACTTCTAACCAAAAACACAGTAATTGTTTTATTGTAATATAACATATATGTACTATAGAATTTGAAATTTTAGGCATAAAATGTAGAGCTTTTAAAATATATTTAAGGGTTGTAGAAACATCACCACTATCAAATTCTCTACATTTTCATTACTTTAAAAATAAATCCATACTCATTCACAGTGAAACATACACTATTTTATATGAGTGTAGAGAGATTCAAGCAGAAAAAGGGTTGGAGGGTATGACATCTTGTTATGGAGATTGGTGAAGGTAAGTATGAAATGAGTGGGTCATTTATAGAGGGAAGTTGTCTTAGGAAAGACTCTGAAGAGATAAGGGCATCTCTATTATTTCACCCTAAAGCTTCAATGTACATGAAGTCATCCACAATTAGAGCATTGTTGTTTATCTAACAAAACCTTGTGTCACAATGTGTTGTAAAAATTGGTTTTTTATTTAAAAGATTTAAAAAACAAGCTGAAGATTTTCAGATTCATGACAAAAATGCTATGTTTTCCTGTAGAAATATGAAAAAAAATGAGTTTTATGAATAGCTGTAAGACCCAAAGATTTTCAAATTCATGACAAAAATGCTATTTTTTTCCTGTAGAAATATGAAAAAAAAAATGAGTTTTATGAATAGCTGTAAGACCATTTAATTATTTCAAGGTATATAGTGAATTGGTTGATCAAAACTGAAAGAAACCTAAATGGGTCTTCATTTGTCCTTTAATCCTAACTTTCAGAGCAGATCTGTCTCCATCAAGACTTTGACCTTGATCTTACAGCTTTTTAGCTACAGTCCCCAACTTTGGTAAACAGAATACAGCACCATCTGAGCTGCCAGCAGCTCAGACAAAGCCTCTGTGTTCCCAAGCTCCACACAGACCCTCTCCCCTCTCCTTCTCCTTCTCCTCTTCCTCTCTCCTATCCTCCGCCCAGTCAAAATTGTGAATTGTTTGGCCACTACTGACCTGTGGAATAATGTACATTATATTCCTTAATTAAGGGACTGGGCTTTATCCAACTTGCTGTTAAAACTCACTCTTGCCCTAGCCAGTTTGGCTCTGTGGATAGAGCTTCGGCCTGTGGCCCAAAGGATCCCAGGTTCTATTCTGGT